AATGTTTTTTCTTTTTTTTGAGTGTATGCACATGTACGATATATATATATAGCTATTGACTCGCGTTACTGACATTGCCTGTCAAACACATGCTAACCTGGTACAGTCGTCAATTTCCTTGTTTGTTTTGTTGCGATTGTCATGCATTTTTGTTGTTATTGCTTTGCTATTATTAGACTAACTAACTAGCATACTACACGTTTCAGTATTACAGTTACTGTTGCTGCTGTTGTTTGTATTGCTTTTAATGTTGTTGTTGTTTTTCTTTTATTTTTATTTTTTAATTCACCTGTGCGCTCATGTCTGTAATTATATAGACAACCTTGGAATAGAGCAAACGCGTCGCCGCCATTTCGCGCCGACACCCTGGCACAGTTTTTCATTTAAATATGCAATTTAGTAATGCATTGACTGTTCTTGTTGTACTTGTTGTTGCTTTTGTTGTACTTGTTGTTGTTTTTGTTGTTGCTGCTGCCATTATTGTAATTTAATTCATTTGTATTGAAAACAAGTTTTAAGTTGATTTTGCCTTTTCGAATTTCAACTTTGTGCTTTAAAGTGTAATTTTCAAATTCTCTCTCTTCTCTTTCATTTTGCATTGCCGCTAATTGAAATTAATTAACACAAGCCACTTATTCGTTCGTTAGTTCTTTTTGTCATATGATATTGTGGACAAATAGTGTTTAGCAGCCCGCCCCCTTTTCATTTTAGCAGGCAATTGTGGCATTAATCTCATTGAAAGCACTTGTTATGATAGAAGCGTTAATTAAACTTTAAATAACTTTAAAATTGGATGCGGCTATTGATGTTTTTCATTTGCCTGGTATTTGTGAAACGGCTGGGGTGTTAAAATAGAGCAAACGTTTGTTTGTTTATGGCAACTGATGTGAACCTGTTGGAAAATCTTTGTACAATTCATCAATATACGAAATACTTGAACCCCTTTACAAATGAACATTGGTGCTGTGCCTTGGTTTGCAACCAATGGTGTCGTCATGGAAAATTCGATTGAAATCACTTTTGATTTAGTGTCAGTTTGTATTTTCATAAAATTAATGGGTGATTAAATCAAATATACATACATTTAATCTTTTTCGATACGTGTTTCTTCCACATGCAAAAGGCGGGCCTCGAAGAAGTTGAGTATTCCTTTTTTTTTTTGCATCCATGAATGACGAACACATCATTATAAACAAGAATGGAATGTTGGTGCTGAATTTGAATTGTCCATTTTAATTTGTTAATTAAAAACAAGAGAAAACGCTAAAGTCGAGTAAGCCCGACAGTAAAATAGCCTTGTACTCTCCACAAAAAAGGAAAATTTAAAAAAAATAAAATTTTTTTAAATTAAATTATTAAAAAAAATTGAAATAATTAATTAAATTAATAAGAAAAAATTTATTTAATAGATACATAGAAGACATGTTTATGTTCAGTTTTAACATCATAAATTTCCATCAGGCAGTTTATATGCGTGTATGTATGTAGCACAAAGTTGAGCCAAAGCAGCAACAACAGCAACAGCTGCGGGCAGCGCTGCCGGCAGAGCTGCAGGAAGCACATGAGCAGCGATTTTATTTATGGCTATAACTTTCTTCAGAATTAACCTATCATGATGAAGCTCTAACTGGATGTAACTACCAAAATTGATTTCAAAATTCCAAGAATTACGGAATTTATAAACAAAAACACCAATTGCGGGGGAGTGGGGGTGTGTATCAGAATAAAAAAATAAACTTGACCTGCCTAGGGCTTATGGGAATCTGGACATCGAGTTTGGTTATTCTAGCTCTTGTACCTTCTGAGATCCTTGCGCTCATACAGACGGACGGACGGACATGGCTATATCGACTCGGCTTGTCACCCTGATCAAGAATATATATACTTTGTGGGGCCTGCCACGCCTCCTTCTATGTGTTACATACATGCGCACAAAACTAGTATAGCCTTTCACCCTTTGTGTAGAGGCTATAAACATATTGTTTCAGCCAGTTTTTGTTTTTTGAAAAACAATGCTAGCTTTCAGCAGCTGAAAAGCCTTGAAATGTTTGATAAAAACGAGAATAGCATAGAATACATATTTATTACATTGATTCCAAATCATAGTCAAATAGTCAAAGTAAGCATTAAATAGAATAAATGTATAACCTTTTTAAAATTAAAATAACTTATAGGCACATACTTAGTCTGAAACTGTTTATTCATAAACGCTAAATGAAAAACAACCATTTTGTTGTGCTGTGCCGAAAGGGCTAGGAAGTATACTATAAAGTCTAATTAGCCCGTCCGCCTGTCTGTCTGTATGAACACCGATAACTTTTAAACCAAAACAGGTAGGTCCATCAAACTTGGAAGTTATACTGGTCTTAAGCCATACACAGAGCAATTATTATTTATTTATATTATATTATTTCGACGGGAAAAGGATTGGTGCAGGGGAGTCGATCTGGCTTTAACTAAATGGATGTTCTACTCGTTTTATAAATTTTGCAGTACATCATAAAAGATAATATTGATTGTTCAAATCTACTAAAAACTATTGATTATTAATTTCGAAAAATCTGCAGCTGGAGGTTGGTGTTAATTGTAAACCAATCTGACAGCAACCCGTGTGTGGTGAAGTTATTTAGCAATAAATGATTACGATTAATATTTCATTGTTTTTCAAAAAATATTACAACACAGGGGAAGATAATCAATAACGGAATCATTCATTGTTTGATCTAGTGTGGCCTATTTTGATGCTTGTTTTTCTCACAGTCGACAGCTGTCCCAATAAGCATAACATTTACATATTTTCCATCTACATCGAGAACAAACACACACACAAAATACAGATACACACGCCCCAATCATGAGACATGGTCGCCTTATCTTTGTTCAATGTTTACAAGCTGTACACAATTTCCCCATGGCTCTGACATTATTGTTACGTATCAGTGCAAATTGTTATTAATTAGGCATTAAATTTATGGCAAATAAGAATCGAATACTAATGCAACAGTGTCTTATTTGCCATTCATCATTTGTCTTCCCATCTCCATTCGAGTGTGTATGAGTGTGTGCGTGTGTGTGTGTTTGTTTGTTTGTCTTTCTCACACTTGAGTAGGCATGTTTTGATAACCTCAAGCTGTATGTGTGTGTGTGTGTGTGTGTATGGGACAATTGTACTTAAAATATGCCGCCTGTGGTGTTATCGAAATATAAAACCATGTTGAAATGGACGCCCCGTTCTATCAGTTTGGTGCGAAGTTCAACTGTCTGAGTGCCCCTCTGTGTGTGGTTGTGTGTGGGTGTGTATATCAGTTTGAATGAATTCTGATTTAATGGCGAATTTACGCGTTCAAATGTATGGCTAAATCGGTTGCTCGCTGCCCGCCGGGTGGCACTTAAGTTAGACATGGATTAATCATATTTTTTTTCTATTTGCACTGATAAATGCCACTGAGATATCAATGTGAGCAACAATAACATCACATATATCGCTCTCCATAACATACAGTTTGTCAAGAAAGTATTTGTACAAGACGAAAGAACTTATTTGACTTTCTCTTCGAAATATAATACTTTTCATTATGCATACTCGTATTTTAATTCCACAACTCCATTGAAAAGTAAGCCCCTAAGAAAAGGGAGCAAAGAAGTCAAAAATTAGATGTTCATGGCAATCTCTCGTATGTATTTAATAAATGCTTTACATTAAATACAAATCCAAGATCTTGGGCATAGTTGAATTCAATAACACTTTAATGAAAATGTAATTAATCCAAAACTCAATTCATTGTTTGAAGAAAGGAACTGCTTGAAAATCAGTCAATGATTTGGGAAAAGGCTTAGAAGTCTTCATGAACAGAGACATTTGGAACTTAAGCTGAACTTAAAGCCATCATCTACCAATATTGGAAAGATGTAATGAATATTTTGTTACAAATTAAGACCCAAGTATTTTTGATGAATGGATAACGTTTGCGCGTTAAAAAGTTTTGCATTTTATAATGGGAATATTTTAATTTTCTAGTTACTCTAAGACTTACGATACACTATAGTTGAATCATATAGTTTAATCAAATTGATTGTCTAAGAAAATACCAATTCTTCCAAAAAATTAGCTTGCATTTATTTATCTGTGAAGTGCACACACTTGTTTGACAAATTGTATATTTTTAAAATAATCCAGTGACAGTTATTTGTGACTTAGACATATTCTAAACCCCTCTTATGGCCTCACTTGATTAGCAACGACATTTGATGCACATTGCACTCGTATTTAATATTGATTTTTGCTATTGAGAGCGACATTTGTCACAAGCACAGAAGCAAGCAGCACATGTTTCTAGGCTATTTGTGCCGTGGCTGTTGTTGTTGTTGTTGGTATGTGTGATGTCATTTGGTCAAGCGTTAAGTATGTGAGTTATATAAGTGCCTGGTTGGTTGTTGGCCAACTGTGCCCGCACCACCGCCTCGACAATCAATTTAAATTCTGAATCGAGCAATAAAATAAAAGGGCAAACAAATAAATTAAAGGCACACTACACTGCCACGCTAAGAGATTGAAGCACAACACCCGGCCATCTATTGATTAAAGTGCGGCCGGACGTAAAATTTCGATAGAATGCCAGACCATGGAAATACATAATTTTATTTTTCTCTCTTGGTCTGCCTGTCATTAGGCTGGCAACAGAAGCTGCCTATAAACAGACAAACAAACATCGTCAATGGCAACAGCAACAGCTATAGCAGAGCAAGAGTAGCGGTGGCAACATCCGATATATGATATAAAGCTCGTTGAAGTTATTAGCATTTAGCATCAATTGGCATCAATTAGGATGATATTGTAAATAATTTTGTATGTGTTGCCGAGCAATTGGATTTTTCTTTAGTGTGTTCGGCAACACAGCACAGGGGTGGGAGGAGCTATTATTAAGAAATGTTAGGTCGCATAGCTGTAGCAATAATTTTGACCCATCAATAATTACTTTGTTTCCCCTCTTTTCTTGCAGTTGATGTGGAGCGTCTGAATAAGAGTTTGCTGAATAACAACAACGAAGTGGCGCTGGATGATGTCCTATTGGTGAGCCAAGAGAAGCAGCAACAAATCGAACAGTTGCCCTTAGAGTATCAGCAACAGGTGTTGCAAACACAGCCTCAGCCGCAACAGCAACAAGTGATTGCTGAGCCCAAGTCAGTGCATAAGGGCGAGCCACAGCAGCAGCAGCAACAACAACAGACAGCCAAAGCGCCAAATGTGATTGTCGCCACTGTAGCACCACAACTACAGCAGCAGCAGCAGCCGCCGGCACAGCAGCAACATCAGCAACAGCAGACTTCACCAGTTGTGCCGCAACAGCAACATAACTCCGCTCAACAACAGCCACAAAATGCCAATTATCATGAGCAGCAACAGCCGCAGCAGCAGCAACAACAACCGCAGCAGCAGCAACAACAGCCGCATCAGCAGCAACCACTGCCACAGCGCAAGCCACAGCAGCAATATAACAACACACAGCAACAGGTGCGTCGAAAGTTTTCTTCAGAATACAACCATCATCATCATCATCAGGGCAGCAACGATACGGCCATACAAACGACCAAAACCATGTCCTGGACCAATTCGGCTCAGCACAAAAAATCCACACAATCGGTGGCGGTGACTGCCTCGCCAAATGTGGGAAATGGCAGTGGTGTTATTGTCAGTAGCAGCAGCAGCAGTAGCAACAGCAGCAGTAACAGTAACAACAGCAACAAGCAGGGCTTTAGTCATCCCACCAAAACGTACACCAATCAGCAACACTACCAACAGCAGCAGCAACAGCAACAACACTATCAACAGCCGTCATTTAATAATGCCAACAACAATCAGCCACAAATGCGCACGTATGGCACAATGAAGGTTCCATCATCACCGGTAGCCACCACAGCACCACCGTTGGAGCGTAAAAATAGTCATCAGGCTGGTGTTGAGCCCTATGCGAAGGTCTATGCTGGCGGCAACAACAATACTGTGGCTCATCAAGGCAACCAAACAACAACAACTACCTCAACAGCAAGCATAACAGCGACGCCACACCAGTTTCAACAGCAGCAGCAGCAGCAGCAGCAGCAACAACAACATTCAGGCGCCGCAATCGAAACGTCCAGCAACACAAACACTTCAAATATACCACAGCAGCAACAATTGCCGCCACAGCAGCAGCAACAACAACATCATCATCAGCAGCAGCAACAGCAACAGCCAACACATCAATTCTCTTCCAAACCTTATGGCAGCTATGCTAGCAAAAAGCACAATCAACAGTTGCAGGTCGCCGAGTCACAAAATTTGAGTAGCAATAGCGTTTCTACGGCCACACCTGCCCTCAACTTGGCACCACCTGCACCGCCTGCCTCGCAATCTAGCAACAATGGTGCCGAAAGTGCACAACCTTCCTGGGCTAGTCTCTTTGCCAACAAGAAACCCGTCGCAAAGGTGGCCCCCTACGAGGGCAACAAGCCACAACAACAGCCGCAGCTTCAGCATCAGCAGCAACAGCAACCACAGTCGCTGGTGCCGCAGCAACAAATGCCGCCACAGAACGCAGCACAGTCTGTTGCTCAACATCTGCCACATGTCGCAGCACCGACTGCCCATCAACAGCTTCAAACACCGACGCCAGTTCCGCCGCCCACAACGCCACTCATCACACCAGGTGCACTTTCCTATTCGGCCGCCTCTGCTCAGGCGCTGCCAACACCGTTATCAGCACCACCGGCACCCACTTCTGCGGTCAAGCCACTGAAGGCCGAACAATCTCGTGCCGCACAACTGGACGAATGGACCAAACAATATGCCGATTTCCTCACTCGCCACAAGACCAATCTGACGCCCATCAGTCTGCGACCGCGCGGTCTAACCAATCGTTCCAATTACTGCTACATTAACTCCATCCTGCAAGCGTTGCTCGGCTGCTCCCCCTTCTACAATCTTTTTCGGGCCATACCCAAGCAGGCCGCAACGCTCAGCGAGGTGAAGACGCCCACTGTAAATGCCATGTAAGTGTTGTTTGTCCTTGCAATACTGACCCAGTTTCTCTGAATCTACACTGGTAGAAATTTTTTGACCCTAACAATGTCTCTTTGAAATTGCGAAATGTTTAAAAACGCGAAACAATTTTTGTTCAGAATGGTCTGGTCCAGAGAACTGCAGCGGTGCACCGCAACAATAAGTACACCGCATACCTACTTAGAATATTTTACTCACGATCACACAAAACACCGCATAAAAAATGATGCGGTGTTGATTATACTCATGGCCTTCTTATACTTAGATCAATGCAATCACAACAAGACTTTTCGCTATCCTCTTCACTCATTTTTGTACTTATGCGGTTGGTGATTGCAAAGAAACTTGTGAGAGTAAAAACCACCACCAAATGTTTGCGATCAATTGAGTATTGGGTTTTCTCGCACTCGGCAATTTTTTTACTCTGTCTTTTTGAGTGTTCGCTCTGCACGATCAATTCAGATGCGGTGCCTGCAATACTTGTACTTATGAAAGTATGATTTGCGATGTTGACCTTGGATATTCAGTGCACATGTGTTTACACGTATGTACATATGTATGTAGTAGAACATGTATGTATGTTCTTTTGTGTGTACACTGTACATATTCCGCTACGATTTTGTTTTGGCTATATCGCTAAGAATACAAACATAAATAAGGCAAGGTAAAAAAAAGATGTGTACAAAATTAAAAGGATTTATTTAATTCATTTTTTTGCTCTTATGAATACGTTCCTCTATGATCGATTCAACACTAATGAGGCTTATGCAGCAATTAACTATACCCTTCCATATGAAGCAGAAGGCAGAAAAAAATAATTTACAGTGCATTATGAGCATACATAAAAAAACGCCGTTATGCACATGCGTTGTTTTCAGTACTTGGTCTTTGCTTCGCTTCGATTTTCATATGCGGTGTTTGCAGTACCCGGTCTTTGCTTTGCTAATCATCACATTGATTTTGTCAACTCTTCTCTCATCGTTTCTTGCGCACGCAATATTTGTATTGTGCGCGTATGAGTATAAGTACGATTGCAGAAAACGACAACAAGAATGTGCGATGAAAAAGTAAAGCAGAAACCGCATACACCCGTGATCGAGTAAGAAAGTGATCCAGTCATAGCAATACAAAAATGCCTTTTGAGTAGGTCACTGAATTGACAAAATAGTATGCGGTGGCGATCACACCGCAACCGCTTTTTCAGTAAGTATACTTAGAGTCACAAAAATAGGCACTCATGCAGTTCTCTGGTCTGGTCACACAGGCAAATTGTGTGTAAACTAATTTTGCAAATAATAATAATTCTGGTGAAACGTTTTACAATGTTCATTCCCGATTATGTTTTAATTAATATAAAACCACCCGAAGAATTAATAATAACTTCGCCCGTCTAAACAAAATTTTATTAAATGCGACTGTGCGTTTGAAAAACATCCGGTTTTAAAAAATAACAAACTTAAGGGTTTTGCTTAACTTTAAAGATATCTATAAAATCCATAAAATTAAACATTTAAAAACGAAAAAAAAAGGAGAAAACTATCACAATAGTTTTTATTCCAATTGCCACAAAGCGGTCGATTTTCGAGCTTAAACTAAAATATTCAATCTCAAAATAGCTTACTAAAAGGGTAACTTTAAATTTAAATATTTTTTTATTACATTAGAACGAATCTCAAATGAATGGAAAAAAAGTGGGTGGAAAAAAAATTCGGGATCTTATATTAAGCGTAATGTCTGTAAACTTATCCAATTTGTTTTTTCAAAGTGTCAATAGGGAATATGTCACAATCAAGTCAACAGACGCCGTGGCGACATTTTGCTGGCATCTGTGTTACGCTTGTGGCATAGCAAATGGCATCAGCTTCTCAGGCATGCAGCGAGTGGAGCCGTTCTGGCGTCACCTGTTGCTACCGCCTTAGCTGTTGCAAAGTGCACGACTAACTGGTTGCATAATGGCCCATTATTGTCATTATGCACAACGGATGCACGCACAGCGTATTACACTGTAATCTAATAATGCTATTGCAATACGAATTGCTGAACTTAAACCTTTACACTTTAATTTTTGTGATGCAGGATGTCTTTTATGACCAACTTCTCGTCGTTGCCAAGTGGCCAGCGACTGCGACTAAATAACAATGCGAACAAGGGTGCTCAAAACAAGGGCAAGGACGAGTTCCCTGGCGTTGATTTGCAATGTGATGTAGCCTTTGAGCCCACGGAAATTTATAAGTTGTGGAATGATAGTCGCGAGGAGCATGTTGAAGGTCGTCAGGAGGACGCTGAAGAATTTTTGGGCTATGTGCTTAACAAGCTGAATGATGAAATGCTCGAGGTGAGTTACATTTACATAGATATATATAGTAGCCTTTAAATGTTATTAATAATTGCTCATTTCAATGCAGGTTATCAAGCTAATTGCCAAGCCAAGTGCACAACAGAACGGTCAGGAGCCATCCGAGCCAGAGGATGGCGGCGATGTGTGGCAGGTAGGATTTCATATTTTTATAATCCAATACGCGAGTAGCAAAAAGAACATAATGAGCCATGATAGATTGCATATAATCAGCATCATTTAACGAATCGATAAAGGCAGTTTCCTCCACCCGTCTGTGTGTCTGTATGAACCTTTACAAATTTAAAACGAGAATAGCTAGGGACTCCAAGCTTGGCATGTGAACTTATGATATACAAACGCAATACAAGTTAATTGTAAGCCAAATGTAGACTACATTTTGTATATAGCTGCCATTGGAACGATCGGTTCCAAGGCTATCTTAGAATCGACCATTTTTGGTTTGTTTAAAATTGGATAAATTCGATCCTTCTGTGCCAATTATAATTCTAGTAGAAACACTTTTTTGTTTTTTACGATATCAAACTAAATATTGGTTAACAGCTGGAATTATCCCGCTCGTAATTATCAAATTTATTGAAATTTCTTGTTGATGTTTCTTTCCTTTACAGATGATCTGCAATAATCGCAATAAGGGCAGCGTAACACGCCAAACCGATTTCGGACGTACGCCCCTCAGCGATATTTTCCGTGGAGAGCTGCGATCACGCCTACAACGCGAAGGCGAACACTCTACAGATGATATTCAGCCTTTCTTTACGCTACAGCTGAACATAGAGGTGAGTTGGCGTGGAAGACGACTTATAACAATGCTAATGAATATTTGTTATCTTAATATTTACAGAAAGCCGCTTCGGTGAAGGAGGCTTTGGAGATTCTAGTTGGTCGGGATCAGCTGGAGGGTGTAACGGGTAGTAAGACCAAACAGGAGGTGGTGGCGTGGCAACAAATGACTTTGGAGAAACTGCCCGTTGTTCTGATATTGCATTTGAAATACTTTGATTATAGATCCGATGGCTGCACAAAGATATTAAAGAAAGTCGAATTCCCCGTTGAGCTAAAAATCGATGCAAGTGAGTGTGCTGCGATATATCATATGCTAACAATATCTAATGAACAATCATTTTCCAGAGATACTTGGCTCAAAGAAAACATCGCAGAAGCAGCGCGCCTATCGCCTTTTCGCCGTTGTCTATCACGATGGCAAGGAGGCATCCAAGGGGCATTACATAACCGATGTCTATCACACCGGCTACAATAGCTGGTTGCGCTATGACGATAGTTCGGTGAAACCGATTAGCGAGAAACATGTGCTGCAGCCGCACACACCGCGTGTGCCTTATCTACTCTACTATCGTCGTTGCGACACCGTGCCACAGTCACAAACAAGCAATGGCGCAGCTGGCGGTGCTGGCGGTGGCGCCGCCAATTCTGCAACAAACTCTGCTGGAAACTCGGCGAACAATAAGTGAAAACTAAAACAAAACCCAAGCGGTGGTTTAGTTGTAAAAACAAAAGGCTAATGCCTAACTATATTTTTCTCTCTTTCTCTGTGTGTGTGTGTGTTAAGTTCTTGAGAGTGTGTGGGAGAAAGTTTGTTCGTATGAGTTTGGTTAGTTGGTTTTATATGCATATACAATATTACGATTATATCTATATATATGTAGATATACATAGCGTATAGTTTAGCCCGAAGTCCAAAGCGCATGTATGTATGAATGATACATTATAAATCTATATATAGAATGTGTACGAGTATATGTGTGTGTGCATGGTAGAAATTAAGTTAAAGTTTTATGAAAAACAAAAAAGTATAAAAAGCAAGTAAACTCTTAGCTCTAAGCTAGTATACCTATAAGATTTTATTTGTGCATTTCTGCGAAGGGAAAACAAAAGAAAACAAAAACAAAACACAAACGAAAGTGAAAACTGTTTGGTCGGCTTGATATACAGATACATAATTATATATATATATATTTATATAAATAGCAATGAAACGAAACAAACTGGTGTACAAAGTGTATGAAATAACTAAAACAGCGAGCAAATAATAATATTAAGTTACAATAAGTTTAACAAACAAATTGCTGCTATTGCTACGAAAAACAGAAAACACTTCTTTTTTTTTTAATTGTCCAACATGTCAAACATTTATTTTTGTAAGCAAAAACAAAAAAAACTTCAGCCAGCAACTTGCATTATAAACGCATAGCGATAAGTGTAACAAAATTGATATGACAAAAATTATAAAACTGTATATAAATATATATAAACCATAGCTACTTATTAATTAAATTGTAATTAAAAAGTGCGTTTCTTGTTTCTTTCGATGTGTTTGCATTTAGGGTCACACATACACAAAACACACAACAACATAACAAAATATAAACGACATAACACTGAAACAAAAACAATATTGAATGCTTTGAATATGCTTTAATAAAAAACAAAACAAATTCATCATGATGTGAATGTTAAAAATGTAATGGAATATGTAATGTTATTCTTTTTTTTTAACATTGTATGTTATAAAGCATCGAGCTTTATACGTTAAGTGTAACGAAACAACAAATTTTTAATAATAATAAAAAAAATGTAATGCGTTAGATATTTCATTTATAATTTATTTCTATGTTGTTTAATTATACATGCATACATACATAATTATAGATATATATATCCTTATATATACATACCAGCAAAAATACATACATAAACACATACATAAATATATATAGAATTTGTTATACATAGCTAGTGAAATGAAAAAGTGAATGATTCTCAGAAAACTCGTTAGGCGCTGGTTAAAACAAAAACGAAACAGAAAAAAAATGGCAAAGAGTAATTTTATTTTGTTTGATTTGTAATTGTTTTTGCTCATATGGTATTCAAGATGGAGTCTAATTAATGTTTAAAGTTGGCTCCAACTATACTTTTTCTTTCATTATTTTGTTTTAAACTCGAACTTTGAATTTAGCAAAGTAAAACACAAAAGTAAATAGTATAGGTGGATTGTAAACATATTAGAGAATTTTAGGCATTACACAAAGTAATGAGCAGTAAAGAACTAATTATACCTATTCAATCAGACTATTATATACATACATATGTCATTTTATATAAGTAAAAAAAAAATAATTATATAAATATACATATATTTTTAATGCTATATACATTTTATTTATAGATAACGTGCCAATGTTACAATTTTTTGAAAAAACAAAAAAAATATATATATATGAAGAAAACGGAAAGAAAAACAAAAATATTTCAAGCAAACTATATTTCATTTGAATGCTTTGTATAGTCAGCAGAGGAACTAATACTGTAATTTCTTTACACAATTACAAGTTTTGTTAAATTTAAGTTTGTATTTCTTCAGCTGTACATGCATATATATATTTGGCATATATATATCTAAAATTTATTTTTAACAACGAAATGAAAATGAAGCGGGTGTGCTGGATTTAAAAACGAAAAAATGAGAAAAAAGAGAAACTGTAATATGTATATTCAAAATTTCAAATATCTTAAAGTGTATCCAAAGACAGTTATTCTGTTAATATCGCCATTGGCTGAAATAAGTGCGTTGAAAAATTGTATTGTATGTTTAAATTTTGTTATACGAATATGCGACATCAAGCGGAATACAGCACTCAAACTTATTGTAAGAATGAGCAGAAAATCTTTAATTAATTGTAAAGCTAATATTAATGGAAGGCATTACAACACGAGTATATACGAATTATGTGTCTGTCTGTAAATTACAAAGGAATAAAGATAAAATATAAAGCATATAACAATATATTTTGATGTTATACAAATATGAATTAATTGTAAGCCAAATTATAGCAAACATTTTTTTCTATAGATATTTTGAGTGTCGCTGATATGCGTCACGTATTGCTAGTTACAAAAATACTTAGGTTCCTAAAAAAATAAAAAAAAAAATTAAAAAAAAAATAATTATATTTGGAAAACACTTAAATATACATACATATATAAATACAATTCAATAAACATGCAATTTACAGCGTAAAAATAAAGAGCAACTAAAAAAAGATCAATTGCGATAACAATAATACTAGTGTATGTATGTAGTCTAAAGCCAAGCTAAAAACATACAAAAAATGAACTCCATAAGAGATCTAATATATATATAAAAGAAAAATGAGGAAAATAAGATGTGGAACTAACATTTATACATATATTTTTGCAAACGAAATTATCATGTTCAACATAAAAACCAATAACAATAAAGAGACAAGACGTAATCATTTTATAATGTTCTTCTTTTGTAATTAAATAGTCTATGCATATATGGTATTGAATACTCCATCATTAATTGTTTAATATAATACCTACCTGTTTTAATCTTTGAAATCTTTAAAATGCTTTCATTCGGCTTCTGTTTTATGTTTCGGGAGATGCGTTTTAATTCTTTTCGCCCAGCTAATAGGTACATATATATTTTTACTAATCAAGTTTAAGTAGTTTCTAAGGCTGTGTAACTAACTAAAAAACGTAAAAATTAAACATTAAACTTTAAAGAGAGGATAACTAAACAATTTAACGAAACTCTTACGTTGTTTTTGCCTGGCAATTTTTGTTTATTTTTTTGAGTTGAAGTGTTGAATCCAAAAATAATGAACGGACGATGTTAAAACTATAGTTGAAGGAGAGTTGATAAACAAGAATTGGCAAGTGCACTTACTAAGCGTAATAATGTAAGATCGTAAGCAGCGGACAAAAACAAAATATTGAAATCAAATATACAAATTATGGAAACATATTATTAGCAAACATATACGAGTATATATATATACATATAAAAATGTGTTTTTGTATTTATTTTCCAAACAAATACACGACGAAACAAACGACAGCAATTTGAGAAAAACAAAACAAAAGAAGAAGACATTAGATATTTAATTTAAAAGAAAATTAAAAACAAAACAAAAGCCGAATTCAAATGATAAAAGCAAAACAAAGAGTAATAAATTAGTCCACATTTAGTCTAAAGAAACGAAATGAAAAGTTGTACTAAATATATAATAATAATAAAAATATAATTTGTAATATGATATACTAAAAAAGGAAAAACAAAATTAACTAGCAATAAAATAAATAATGTCTTTACCACATTTGTTGCACGTTTTTGTATTTTTATACCTAATGGTGGGTGGCGAAAGAGAGAGAGAGAGAAAGATAAAGAGAGCTCCACACATAGTCTTAGGTTGTGGGTCAAAAAAATGCGGTAAGTAATGCGATGAGCCGATGCTCAAAACCGGTTAACCGATAATAACCAAAACAAATCGAGCTAAATAGTTTCGAAGTTGGAATGCTCTTACCCTTCTTTTTATACCATATGTCTACAAGTCTGATCGATCTGCTTTCCATTTACTTACAAGTTTTCTTAATATGAATTAAAATTGTCTTATGACCTTATATTAACGACGACACTGCATACAAGAAGTGCTCTGAAAATTTTGGTGTGTTATTTAATTTTGTTTTGAGTTCTATTTGAAGTTTGTTGCTAATCAATCATATATACATAAGTAGTACAAGTATATAGTAGTATATACTACTGTGCACAAAAAAGACCCGCACTATTTTTTAAAACTATAAAATCTTTTTTATCGCCTTTGAAGCAATTTCCTCCAGATGGAATGCTCCCATTAAAATCCCATTAAATTCCATATGTGTCTGTAAACGCCAAGGCATCATATCTATAATCCTCGCTAAGGTTATTTAATTTTCAGAAATCTTCTTAAAATTGTAAAAAATATTTTATTTTTATTAATTTTTTTTGCGAATCGTCCCATATTTGGAAATTTTTTAAATATATAAGACAGAATTACAGTTTTTTTTTAAAGATTGTAATAAATTTTGTATTTAAATCATGGTTTTTTATGAGCTAAAACAGGTTGCTAAAATATTTTAAGATTGTGTTTATGTTTTTAAAGGGTTATGTTTTAAAATTTTAAAAATACAGTTCAGGAAACAGTAACTTAAGACCGTGCAGCGGAAACAAACGGACTGGAGAATGAGAAATCAAAAGGGAAACAGTCAAATAATCACAAGAAAATATTTCCCTATTTTAGGCAAACTTTTGTATGCATAAATAGACCAAATAGTAGATTATAGCTTGAGAGCTGCTTTCTTTCTATAATCGAAATACACACTTGTGCTTGAAAGTGTATTTAAAATTCGTGGCGCTGAAAAGCACACTCTCTTCCTACTTGTTTTCATTATTGCAGAAAAGGCAGTTGTGTAAACTCTTTAAAATATTTGTCGAAAACCGCGCAGCGTCTTCAAAGAGCACTGAGACAGGCGGCCTGGCTCATTACGTATGCGAGTCACGAAAGTGCGACCCCGAGAGGCACTGAGAGGCAGAAACTCGTTTCTGGCTTCAAAGTGCTCGTACTGGAGACGGCAGGCGACATTAACTACGATTTTTGAAGTTGTGTGTTGGGAGTAGTCTCAGATCAGCTGGCCCCCAAGTAGTGTGGCATGAAAATGCATGCGTTGTGGCTAAAAACGACTTTGTTGTGACAAATCGAATCGAAGTTATTGCAAAAAGTGACGCAATGTATCGTAATGTGCTCTGTCTATTATTGGGCCTAATAGTGGGCATACGACTGACTGATTTCTGGGTCTATATCAAGTTGCCAAGCTGTGAGAAGGCCAGTCGCAGCACGGCAAGATATCCCAGTGCTCTCGGTGAAGATGATAGCGAGAGTGACAGTGACACGAACTATGTTTCCCCCTATCGCATAGTAACGCCCCAATGGACACAAAAACAGCAACAACAACAAGAAACGGAAACAACACAGCTGTCGGTTAAATTGTTCAACGAAACGCGTATCTTGTGCTTTGTCTTGACAATGCCAAAAAATCACAAAAAGAAGGCCGCGAAAGTGAAGGCGACTTGGGGCAGGCGTTGCAATAAGTTGCTCTTCATGAGTACGGTAGCGGATGAGGCGTTGGGCATCGTGCGGCTGGATGTGGAGGAGGGTCGCGAGAACTTATATCTGAAGGTGAAGGCCTCACTGGAGTATATCTATGAGCGCTATCTGGATGACTACGATTGGTTTCTCAAGGCAGATGATGATACGTAAGTGATGGACGAGCTTAAAAGTTTACGAATTACGAGACTTTCTTGAGCAAATAATTAATAAATAAATATACGAACACTAACTTGGATATTGCGAAGTACAGTTCTGGTAACGTAACTGCTATTGCTGATCCGAATGTTATTCTAAAAATTATTTTCCTGATGTTGATGATAGTCATTAACATTTTTTTTCTAAATTTTAGTAATTAGTAAATGGCTTAATCAAGAAAATATTAGTTATATTGGTTCGGTCAACCGAGTTCGCTTGCAATTCAAGCGCTCTTAGCTGCTTTTTTTTAAATCCCAAAAAACCCACTCGGGAATTACTTAGAAGTAAATAAACCTACTGTTCAAGGCTCCGTTTAAGCGCAAATAGCCTTAAAAAAGTGCTTTATCCAAAGAATTTTGAGCAGATATTTTATAAAAGCATATCCTTAAAAAATAAACCTATGGCTGTGTATTTCTAAGAAGAAAACAAATTTATAAATAAATTTTTTTAAATTTAACCCGATTTTTGCAAGCTGAAAAAGTAACTAGAGAACCTATTTCCCCACCCGTAGCTATGTGATCATGGAGAATCTGCGCATGTTTCTATATCCCTACGATGCCGAGGCTGCTGTTTACTTTGGCTGCAAATTTCATCCATATGTCACCCAAGGATATATGTCCGGTGGTGCTGGCTATGTCCTCAGTCGTGATGCTCTGCGGCGTTACAATCTCTTCGCCAGGAATAATACAAAGTTCTGTAGGGCGAATGGAAAATCGGAGGATAAGGAAATCGGCAGATGTCTGCAAAATGTTGGCGTCGTAGCTGGTGATTCGCGTGATGAGCAGGGCCGGGAGCGGTTCTTGCCCTTCTCCCCACGCCACCTGATGCCCCAAATGGTGCATTCCTGGTTGGATAAATTTCTGTTCTATATGCCCAACGTGAGTTCGTTTGAGAGATTGCCAATTGGTTGCTTTAATTATGAGTTGATTTTGTTTGTTCTTTGCAGCGCACTGATTGCTGTGCCGACACAGCCATTTCCTTCCATTATACCAAAGATCAGGATTATTTTATGTACGAATATGCCTTGTATCACTTGAAAGTCTTTGGTATTCACAGTGATGTTACGGACTTGAGACTACCCAAGCGTCTAACCAAGACGGAAATGGAGGAGAAATTGCATTTGTGGGGTCTAGCGAAAACTGATAATCCAGAGTCGCCTTAGATTATGGTCTGAATCTCAGATGAAGTAGTACTAGAAGTACTAGATATTGGATCGATTGCTAAAATTCTTATCGAAAATGTTGGCACAATGATAACAATTTGAGGAACATGCAAGGTTATTGGTCTAGTCTTCATTTGTAACGCATCAGTTTTTTTTTTCAATTATAGGCACAATTACATTTCCTTTTATGTTGAAACTGCTTTTATATCATTAATTATCAAAAATTATTATTTAACTTACATTTTGTTGCCGAAGGATTTGATTTAAAACCGGGAAGAGCTTTGATAGTATTTACTTATGCATGTTGTTTAGCAATACACCGTCATCTTCGATGTCGATTAAATTATTAAATATTTTAAACTGGAATTTAAGCGCAAGATTATTTTGCAAGAAGTGCTACAAATCTTTGGGTTTCCCCGAAAAATTCTATGCCTAGTTATTGAGGTCAAGCATTTATAAAAGAGAAAAGAAAAGTTTTAGTTTTGTGAATTATTCGCAAGTAGAAATCGAAATCGATGTGTTCATCAGTAAGTTTTTGTTTTAATTCTTAGTTGTATGCTAGAAAACATAATCAACAGTTTATATTTCTTCATGCTATTTATGTTATTAAGATGTACATATAATTGAATGTTGAAAACTCAAACAACTTTATAATTTAAAAAGTTGTTGTTTATTAAAATATAGTCGCTTTTGTTTATATATGAACCTTTAGTTAATTTTTAAAGCAGACTTAGATAAGTAAATGACTTCTCTCACCTTTTAAAGTGAAGACTCCGACTATTTTGACTCACCCATTAAAATTTTGATAAGTAAAGGCAGATAGGGTCCATAATAAAAATGGTCCCTCCTCGGAAACACATTTATTTGTTATATTTTAACATTTGTACCATTCTGCTCCTTTGAGTGTACTCCACCTATTCTTATAGGTATTTAGAAATCTTAAACAAAATTGTTAAAGCCTAACCAGCATTCGATAGCATGTGGCGCGGTCTGTGATTTGAAGATGAATTACAACATTTGAGTTAGAAATTTGGGCATTGTTTCCATCTCTATTATATAATCGTAGGTATTATGGTTTTATAGATGGCATTAAAGTCATATCAATAAACTTAATGTAATTGCCATGCTCAATAAATAAAACAAGAGTTGTTAGAATTAGGATTTATGTTGCCAATATGTACAATAAAACAAACAATTGCATGCGAACTTGAGTTTTTCTGTCTAATGCCGCCGCCTTGGCCATTTATCAAAGTTGGTGGTTAGTTCTTTCGGAGAGAACCCCATTTTAAAGGCCTCTATCCATGCACCAATTTATCAAAAAAAAAAAAAAAAAAAAAGCGCCGGACGCGTGCCTCGTGCCAGTCGCTTGCTGCCTCTGAGGATTAGAGCCAATGAATGTAAGTGAAAAAGGAATAGAGGCCGGAAAATCGCTCGAAACGTGCCAAACACGTGAAAAATACCTGGGGATCAGCGCATTCGGCTGTTATTGTATTCTGTATTCTGTAGTCTTGCCACCACTATTTCAAGTTATTTATGAGCATCGAACTGAGTCAACACTGACTGTCTGCACTGACAAAAGCGAAACGCCGAAACTTTGACCTCAGAGCTCACAGAGCTACTCGGGAGCTGGGGGTTACCAAAATGTTTGTGCAGCACGCAAGCCCGACTCTGTGGATAGGATAAGGAGGAGGGATAAACTCGTTTTTGCGACTGCTGGCAGCTGGCTTGAGTTAGAAACTCATTTGAACTGTAAATGCTATGTAAAATGTTTTACACATTTATGAGGCGAGACTACCGTGTGCTGCAATGTAAAGGAGGGTGGGCTGGAACGTGTCCTGGAACGTGCCCCTAAGCGAGTCGCGCTTGCGCACAGCCAGCCACACCTTTTGTTAGTTTAAATTACCATTTTGCATAAATATTTATGCATGTACAGATGTGTGTGTGTGTGTGTGTGTATGTATGTGCGAGTATGCATGCTGATTGGAACAGTTGGCTGAGAGCTTTATCTCCAAGCACGCTTTACATGCAAATGAGCCGTACACGTGTGCTGGCCAACAAGCCGTGAACATGCAAATGACTCTGTAGGCTGGCAACGGGCAATGGGCAACTGCCTGTGTGACAGATTTTTAGGTAGTTAGGCATACTAATGGACACTCTGACACGGGTCCTAGTATGTATAATGAGGCACGCTAGATTAGGGAGTAGTTAGTTAGAAAAGTAATCAGCGCGCCAAAGAGTCCCTCGAGCATTTAATGTTGTGATGCATGATTTTCAAAGCATTGCAACCTAAAGGTACGCCGAAATACTTAGTATTAATCAATTTCAATTTGGCCTTCAATAAGATGAAATAGAGTAAGATTAACTAAGTAGCCCCATTTCTTGAAATGATGTAGCATCCATTTATATGCGCCCTATCTATAGAGAGCTTTAGGCTTTAAATTAAAAACTGTTGAGTAAGCAATATAAATATAAATAAACGAATGCACAACTGTTCTCCATATTGAACAATAAATATTAAAATATGTTTAAAAATTTTCTTTTGAGCTTAACAGCAAATATTTGAAACGTAAGTAAATGTTGTGAAACTGTCCATCTGTCCATCGCAGCTGTCCATCTATTTGTTTGACTGTATGATCGCCTAGATATCGCGGCCTCCAATAGCAAGACTTGTTTTTCGATATGATCATGTTTTTTTTTATAAATTATTATCTATACCTTAAATGTAAATAATTTTTCAATTTAAACAACAATAATATTTCTATTTTAAAATATGTTTGAAATTAATTACACATAAGATCTACTTATTATTTCTAACGTATTATGCAATAAAAATATTTCTTATACTTTAGTGAAGTTTCTATATTACCTAAAAAAGTTATTAGCAAATATACTATATATATATATATTTATATATATATAATTATATATATATAATTATTATTTATTTTTACGTCGACAATTTAAAGATTCTTGCCAGAAGCTAAAAATCTTTAAAAGAAAGGCTAAACCAAAAAATAGCCATAGGAGAAAATTAAATTTTAAAAAAAAACTGCATAAAAAATATCTGAAAAAAGAAAGCTTGAAAAATCAATAATTAAACCAAAATTCAATTGTGAAATAAAATTTATTTTTGGTTAAAATGTGAAAGGAAACAACTTCATTAAGATAGATATTAGTGATAGAATAGATATTAGAATTCAACAAAAGGTTTGGAAAATCAAATATTGAATTAGCCATCCATTAATAAATAAAATGAAGGATTTTTCGAATTTAGTCTCATTAATAACTATATAATATATTGAGTTTAGTGTTTGCAAGCAAATTTGTATTCTACTTCACTTCGATGCAGTACAAATTTTTCTAATTCAAATCACAATCGAAACCGTCAATGAATGAAAGCTTTAACGCTTTCGCTGACTATGTAAAGAAATTCATCACAACATTGTGGCGATAAGTCGTGGAATTTAAAACAATGCTAGCAACCATTATACAAGCCAATGAACATTAAGTAACCCTTCTGTTCTGCGTTTCTTCGTTTATTTCCGTTCATTGTCTGTCCAACCCCAAAAATAATAGCCTTTGTTACTTTCATTGAAATTTTCTACAACTTCTCCTCCCTACAAGCCATCTACCCCAACCACATCGAATGTCTTGTATTATTTGTATTGCCTTTTTCTACAACATTAAACCCTTGAGCAAACCATTTGATATCCGAACCAAGTCAAGTATATGGAGTCAAAGTCATCTAAGACGTGCTGCCTTCTTAAAATCCAAGTCACAACTGTGCTCTCTCTTGCCATGCAACGCCCATCTAATTAGTAGCATTCCTGCTAACAATCAACTTGAAGCAATGCTCTGGCATTGCCACGCCCCAATCGTCAGAAGCAGACACACACACAAACACACACACACACACACACGCACACACACACACACGCACACACACTTAGAGAGCGAAGCACACACGCATCCTTGCAAGGATAAACACGGCGACATGCTGTCTGGCGAACTGTTTACACATTTCAACGACGTTTTATAATCAATTTAATGGCTTCCCTGGCAGCGCATGCAGCATAAGGAGGCGAGCAGGCGACGCAAAAGAATACGAAAAGGAACTACACTCAAGCACCTCGGGATAACGTAATAAATGTCGACAACAAACAAAAGACAACATTGCAAAGAAGGCACAAAATCCAAAAGGCAAAGTAGCACACAAACCAAAAACACCAGAAAAAAAAACCAACCAAAAACGAAAAAGCCAGTCTGTGTGAGCATTTCAATTTGTACCTTTTTCTTGTAGCGTCGAGACCCTCCAGACGGCGGGGCAAGTAAAACCTACAATTGGCACTTTTCAGCCAAGGAATGCCCCTGCTTTTTGTTCGTCCTTTCCTTTTTTTTCTGCAGTGACTGCAACTCAATTAAGTGACGGCGACAGGAACGAAGAATAAAGAACGAGAAAAGGGCAAGGCACCTCGCAGTGCCGATAAGAAGGTAAGACAGTGGCTGGTCTGGTGTGGTCTGGTGTTGCTTTGGGTTGGCTTGGGAAGGATGTGGAGAGGGGGAGGGTTGCCAACGAAGCGCATAAATGCCTGATGAAGAAGGGTTGCCAATGTGTTTGGTGACTCAACAATGTCTTAAACGTGTTGCTTCGCTGCTAGTGCTTCTTCGTTTTCTTCCGGCGCTAAGGAATTTTTCTTATAAGGATTTCCCCTGCTACGCGACACACACTATTGTGGCAACCCTTAAACGGTGTGCGCTGAGTGTGTGGGTTGTTTTCTACGCACACACACACAGACACTTCTATACTCATACATATACATTTATGGCATTTAAGGCGACGACGCGGGTTCCCTTTTGACGCTGGCGCGTGCCAAGACAGGCGAGGGTTAGGTCTTTGGCATACCTGTAGCTGAGACTTACAAACACACACACACGCACACACACACAAACACCGTGCTCTCAGCTCTCAGTAATGGGGGGAACGCGATGACGTTCATTATGCCGTGGTCTGTGTCCTCGTCAACGTCTTGCAGTTTTGTGGAGTGAACTTTACTTGTGTTTAAAATTAATTTCATTACAAGCTGTCATTGCAGCTTATTGGCAAGTGTAGCTGTGTGTGTGTCTGTGTGCAGGTCTGTGCGTGCTTTTCTGTGAGTCATGGCTGGCTGTCATAAAGCGGAAATGCCTTCCAGGATGTGGAAAGGTGCAAGCAGACTGTGTGTTTCTGTTGCTATACAAATTATTATATACTACTTACTATTATGCTGCAAAACAAAAATACAAAAACTAAAAACCGGCAATTACACGAAACTGTAAACATAAACGTGCATGTAAATATATTAGTGTGTGTGTGTGTGTTTGTGTGTGTATGTGTGTGTGGGCAAAGGAGCTGCCTGGCACTCTGTGCTGTTTGTTGTGAAAGGAAGTGGCACCGAAGCGTTAAATTGAAGCATGCCAAATCAATTAAAAACTACATACTCGTATACGTGTATGACATGCCTGGCAACGCGACAGTTTGCATTTGAAAAGTTAGTGTGCATACAAGTATATATTCATTATTTATTTCTATGATATAGTAATACAGTGATCGTTAGAAAATAATTTCCAAAAAATGCATACACTACATAGATATTGTGCTAGAAATCTGTTTACTTTCAATCACATCGGATATAATAATATAATAAATAAATAATTAATAAGAAGACCTTATACATTAGTTATTTAATTCTAGTTAATTCTGTAAGTATATAATTCTAAAAATGTTGTTAACAAGACTTACCCTTTTTTTAAAGGATTACAATATTTTCAATAGTTTGCATCTTGAAATATACATCTTTCAATTCATATATTAAAAGTTTGATAATTTTTTAGTTAGTGTACCTACAAGTATATATATAGTGATCGTTAGAATAATTTCCAAAAAATGTTGCATATTGTGCTAGAAATCAGCTTACTTAATTCCAATCACATCGGAATGGTATAAGGTATTTATTTGTATATAATTCTAAAAAAATGTTGGTAATTAAACTTACCATTTTAGTAATAGAATATAATATTTGTGATAGTTTGCATCTCGAAATATAAGTCTTTCAGTTCATATTTTAAATGTTTGATTTTTTTAGTTTCTTTTGAGCAGATAAAGCCAAAAAACGGCATAGCTTGAAATATTTTTGAAAAAAATCGCTGTTATATTCTTATGATGTGCTGTGTAAGGTACAGTCAAAAAATTGTATAAGCTCTGCAGTCCCGTATTAGTTATGCCATGATTGGAAAATGCCACAAGAATTTCAATCTGGAGTTGTCTGACACGCTTGTGCTGCAAAAGATAGGAATCCATTAAGGTAATTTAATATTTTAAACAAATTTCAAATATAGTATATATTTATATTTAATTTTTTAGATTGCCCAAAAAAAATTTAACAATTCTTGTATTCATTTGGTGATGATTTAGTTGGAATATATGTACCTACAACTTTTTGAAATATACATTGAAACTATAGAATTAAAGTAAAGAAATACCAATCACATGACTTAATTTCTTATTGTTTCGAAAACATTAGGCCTGAAATGTAACACATAGTTCAAAATTTCTTTCGAAGTTCGGAAGCTACAAGACCAAACAAAAGCAGAATCAAATTTTGTTTATTTGTTAAATGTATTTGAAAATATTTAGATTCCACGGCATTTCTGTTCAAGGTAGCCCAGCAAGCTTAACATTTTAAAATAAAACAATGCCGATTTTTGGTCCAGCATTTATACAAGATTGAAGTGTAAGCCAGAACCTTATTTTTTTTTGTTTAGAAATTAAAGGTGTCACAAGTTATTTCTGAGCGATCACTGTAGTAGCTTTTTTTTTTGGGTGTGTGGTTAGAGTAACATTCTGTGCTCTTGTTCGTCGCGTTTGATTTTTTGTTTTCAGCGGCAGCTGTTCGCGTTTCTAATGCAAAAAAAGTTAACAGTTGAGCACAAAATAAAAATCAAAATACCTTTACACATGATTTATCAAGCACTGCATATACATACATATGCGAGTACAAGCACATATGTGGTGGCTATTGGGTGTGTTGTCATGTTGTCGATGCTTCTGGCCGCATGGGGTGTGGGGTGTGCCTGCGCGCACGTGTATGCGTATGTGTGTGTGTGTGTGTGTGTGTGTTGCAGCTGCCGTTTTCCCCTTGCACGTTGGCATTTTGCTTAGCGATCGCCCCTGGCTGGCCGTGCAACGATTTAAAAGTAGAAAGAATACGATATCGAAAAAAAAATGCTTTTGCTGTACCAAAAACCAAACCAAACCAAACCAAAAACCAACCCTCTGGTGTCTGTCCAAACAACATTTGTTTTTTCGACTAAATGTGCGCCCCCTTAGGGTGGCTTTCCCATATCTATCTATGTGTGTGTGTGTGGGTAAGCCACACAGTTTATTGGCATGGCTCATGGCTCACTTAGTTGTTGTTTTCCTGCCCATCAACGGCATGAAATTCAAAATTTTCTAGTCCATACTGCTGGTTAATGTTCAGAAATTACAGCAAAATCTGTCGATTTTGTGTTCATATTACATATATTTCCCTTTTCAGGTTTTCTCTCTATTTAACTCTGACTGGGGCATGCACCTAATTAGCTCAACATCTGCATTGGCACGCGTGTCAGTCCGGTGGGGATCAGAATTTATTTTAAAATCTAGGACGCTTGCATTGCACGTTCGCAAAAATTGTGTTCAAACCAAACTGAAATGGAAAAAGGATTATCTGTTCATCCCTTTTTGCAGTCAACACCTGACTAGGTGCTTGTACTTAAGTTTGTGTTTAGTATACGATTTAACTTTTCTTTGCCAAATACTGGAACTATTTTGAAAATTTTTATCTTCGTTACACTTATCTTCCCATCTGCATGCTGATGATGCGTTCGTGGATTAATTTTCCATACTCTGGAACAGCATTTTATCCTAAAATGCACTTACAATTTATGTTATCCATAAATTAAGGCCCACAAGAAATATGGCCTGAATATATAGGTACTTAGCTTTAAATGTGTAATACGGACAAGGGCAACTTATAAGGTAAGCAAGCCTCAGTTATTTATTTAGACAAGACAAATTGAAGTTAATTGCTTGATGGTCTACAAGGTACAGGAAAGTAAAAAAAACCTAAGAGGGCAGAGGACTCTATATCGCCCATAATAACTTTGTGAAGAAAAACGACATCAAGGGCAGTCGTTCGCATTGATAGTTATGAAAGATTCAAAAGCAACAGCCAGTTAGAATATGCTATCAAGATTGGAACTCCAGCTTAATTGTAAAAGGATCATTGAATTCCTTAGTCCTTTAGTCATAGAGATGACAAGGTTGAAGTTAAATTTTGAATTAAAACATTCACCCAGTTCTTTGACTGTCGCTATACATTCCAATAACACATCGTCAATCATATAGTACCAAGATAGCATGCAGTTCAGATCATCCGGCAGATCCTTTGTATAATTAAATAATTTGCACATCAGCAGTAAGTCTATAAGAGGTTGTCGAGAGCACGGCTCAAAGGGTCAAGATTATTGGAGACGTGTGAGTGTAACAATATTATTAACTGTTATTTTATAATTCTTTTATATATATTTACTAACATATCCGGCTTGCGTTGCTACGCCACTGAATCGTAGTACTTTTTAGGCTTTCCGACGTCACATCTTTCCCAATACCTCCTTCGTATTTTATGGCTTCGATTTGGTGTTTTGCATGAGATGTGCGAATGTTCGCTCTTCTTTTAAATTAACCGGGAAATAAGTGTACATAAATATTAAATATGCTTTTACTACTATTTTTAAATGTAATCGTAAATTTTACAAAAATCTTTTTTAACAGGCTTCGACTAAGTACTTAGTAGGAAGATGCGGAGCAGATCTGGTTTTTCAGTTAAATTTTAAATCAGTTACGGGTGCGTCAACTGCCTTAAATATTTAGGATATCCTTGAGTTTTTTTGCTTTATTTATTTATCGACAAACATAGCTGTCAATATAGAATAAAAATCAGAGAATCAATTTTAAAAACAAAATTCTTGAAAAAAAATTTAAAAATCGAAATCGAAAATTTTGCTTATCCAATCGTCACGAAACTTCAGAGGATCATCCACGAAACTATTTAAAATATTACCACAAAATTTGATCAAAATCGGTTGAGTGGTTTCGGAGTCAATAGGGAACATACATACATACATAGATTATGAATATCAAGCCGAATTTGAATATCTCTATGAAATGTCATGTATATGAACATCATACTTTCGTAACGAACAATTTGCATTATTTTAAAAGTAAAATTACATATTTAACATAAAACCCCATATAATCGTTGTTGATTATTTATGTATTGTTGTACGTTTAATTGTTTTGATAAACCGTAAAATTTGAAAACAAATTTCTTCTATCAAAATTTGAAAACAAATTTCTTTTATCAAATTTGAAATATTCTTCTGATAAGGTTGAAAATGTTTGTTGTTGAGCAAGGCCCATAAATGTTTTCACAGCTCATAAGCAACACTTAGCCAAGTTGCTATCGGCTTCTAGTAGATGACTAACTGTTTGTAAGAAGCACACAACGTCACTATCTTGGCATATCTAGTATACATATAAATTACAACTCCGAGAATAGGCGACTGGCTTCTGTTGATAATTTCCGTGGGCCACGTAGATCCACGTATATATGTAGAGAGCTCGGAGATTTGCAAAGTAAACCCCGGCTGTCAGTGGAATATGGTGTGTCAGTCAAAGCACATAATACATATCCATATATGCACAAGCCAGAGAAATCAAAACAGAATATGCTGATAAGGCCTAATCATGGGAAGCGGACTATATAAGCAATTGTCTAACTGCCCAGCATTCAGTCCATTCAGAACAGTACGAAAATGCACTTCCGAATTTTTCTCTTGGCAGCGCTTAGCTGCCTAGTTATAGGCCAGACACAAGCCCAGGTACCAGCCCGTCGAAATGTATCGCAAGCGGGTCCAGTGGCGCCTCCGAATTTGGCGCGCGACCTAAAGTCCTTACTGCGCGCCATACCCAAGAAACAAATTCGCGATCTTGTGCACGCATATTTACTGAACGATGCCGAGTTCCAGGCTGTAATACGTGCCATCAATAGTATTCCGGCTTATCGCGCCCGTCAGTCACTGCTCAACCAGCCTGAGGTGCGCCAACTGATCCTGTGGGTGGGCCAGCAGCTTTTGTTGTCTGGCGCCGGCTCCTGGGAAATTGTTGATGACTTGGAAATCTCAATCTTCAACAAGTATCCCTACTGGGCCCAAACGGTGCAGGGTATACGTGGCTTCCAACTGGAGCTTGCATCCATATACCCTGTGGAGCTAGTGCGTTCGCTTTTAGAATCCAGTGGGCAGCAGAGTCCAGTCTTGGGCGAGTTGTGGCGTCGTCTGCTCGCCCTGAAACCCGCCTACGAACGTTGGTTGGCCTTGCCTCAGGTCAGGACTGTAATCAACCGCTTGGGTGCTTTGGGCGTCGATTTGGATGGGGTGGACGCGATAGTGCGCTATCAACTGGGCTGGAGCAATGCCACCTTTAACAGTTATCCCGACTACGATTATAGGAATTACCCGGGTTTTTAAAAAAATCACAATTTTAGTGAATTTTTATGTTTGTGGCACTACATACAAGTATTTATAATTAAAGGACATGCATTCCAAAACGATTCGTTTTATCAGTTGTTAATATTTTTCAGCCTATCGGATTGGATTTGATCCTATCCGATAGTAATGTTCTTCAATACTTACAGTCTCTCATGCGGTAAAGTCTGCCTAATTTTTTCGGTGGAATACAGATGTATAGGTACAATCGGAATGGAAAGGTTTTTTAAATCCACACCAAGTACGAGCGATGTCTCTTTATTTCAATAAGAAAATCATAAATTTACGAACAATTTTTGCTTAGTATATATCGTGAATGTAACAGGTTTGGCGTGAACTTTTTTTTTTAAATATTTAAACTATTTTCATTTAATTATCTTCTTATTTTAATAATAGTAGGTAATCATATTTAACACAATTTATATGAGAAAAGAAAAACACAGAACTTTAGAGGGGTATCTCATTTCTAATAAGCCCAAGCCTGAAACATTGCGACCAATTCTTATATTTCTGTTGACTAACTAGCACAAAACTTATTTCTTTTTTCTTAACGCAACATATATTTGTATCTACATGTATTTTTAAAAAGTAACCCTTTCCTGAACATTTTTGCCATTATAAATATTTTTATTTTTCAATTATTAATAATAAGGATTAACGTTGTAAAAATATGGCGTTTGGTAAGTTCCACAAATGTGAATTCTGCAACACCAGTTCTCCTACCTCAGTGAAGCACATTTTATCTGAATGCCTACACCTACGGGCAGAATTATTTCCCGACCCTCGACACATCCACTTCTCGCTTTTGTCCGTTTAAAAGGCAAATTTAAAATACTCGTAAGGTTTCTTAAAGCATCAAATCTAATTCATAAATTGTACGTCTATTACAATTACACAATATATTTATTAATTCAATATAATATTCAATAATAAAATAAATTCATTATAATAATTAATATTATTAAAAGTTAAGCGCAAGGTCACGTCGCTGTAGCTTAGACTACCATTGCCTTTCTGTGATTTTATTTACCTTTAAATATATAATAAATAAATAAAATTCTAAGAATATTGACCAATGATAGCTCAGTATAAGAAAATGCACTTATTTAATACATATCTTTAAATTTTCCAGCAAATCTAGAGATTACATGTCAAGTGCTTAGATTTTGTATTCAGGCCACAAACTCCGTGAAACCAACTTGGGAATTCTACTCAATATTTGATTCGATTTTAAATTTGAGAACGGTTCAAACTACATTGAAGAAAATGCATACTTTTAAATATTAAGTATTGCTATAATTCCAGCCTACTCGTTTCGTACTGGGCTAATAGAATGGTAGTCCTGTGAATCCAGCCAAGTGGAAATAGGCATTGTGCATGAAAAAATGAACTCACTTTTAAATAAGTATGTAAATAAATATTGCTTCGAGCAGCTGCATAAAAGCCGAAGTATATTCTATATACGAGCATAGAAAGCACCCGCTCTAAGTTTACGGGTCCTGTATCCATGGCAATGCCATGATTAAGTAACAGATGAGCAACCACTGCTCTGACATGTCCCTGCCTGGTGGACGCACATGCGATTTAATTGAAACAAACCAAACAGGAAGCAGCGCACGACATCGTGCCAAATGGGGTGTGTTTGCCTGTGTAATGAAGTTCCAAGTTGCCAGTTGCGCGTTTCCAGTTCCCCATTCCCTGTTTCCCAGTTCCCAGTTCCCAGTTACCACTTTGGTGTATACAGTTACTCATTAAGCGCAGAACGCGAGCCTGAAATTGGAATTGCAACGGAAACTAGTTAATGTGAGGCTATATGGCTGTAGGACTATTGTCAAAAGCAGAAGCGCAAGTCGTGCAATTTTCACACAGCGACGACAGCCGAGTTGCACAGTGTCAATATTTGTGAAAATATTTATGAATATATTGAACGCATTTATTTGAGTTCGATCTGTGAATCACATCGCATTGAATATAGTTTTCAAATGCGAAAAAATGTTCAGAAACGTTTCATCTTACTTGTAAAATGCGTCTTAAAAGCAACTACGTATTGCTCGCAAATTTGATGCGGCTTTAAATTGAAATTTATGAGAGGGTTTGAATTGAATTGAATATGTTTATTAAATTATCTGAACTAATCTACTACTACTAATCTGCTACCTAATGTGGCTGCTTAATCCAGTTATACGTTAAAGGGGAATACAACAATTGTCCTTAGGATACATCTATAGGATTGCACTTAAATTTATCTAAGTATTCAAAATACAAATTATTTACATTATTTTCATTGTTTTATTACTATAGAATATAAAATAAACTGGAAGATCGTGATGTAATCTAAACATGGAATCTCGTGGGGATACTTATTTCACGTTGTTGTTCTTTTATATTAAGTTAAGTAATGCTTGATAATACGTCAATTTACAAACCTCCAAAAACGATTTCTGCACAGCTTATTATTTAATTCAAACATTAAAATTGCTTTAAAAAAATCCCCTTTTAAAATCCAGGAAAATATATGAATCAATGTTATGGTTTGGATTCGAGCTTGGAACTGCAAAGCACTTGTGTATTTTTTGAGTATACTCGACTCTTAAAAGGAAAGTGGTTAGTCAGTCATGTGGTTCCAGAACTGACAGCTTACTGCAGACAAAAAGAACATTTTAAGGTCGCTCAATGATCCCATACGATCAAGCATACTACCTTAAGAGTCTCTACAATAGGCATGCTTTATTTTGCTTTTTACGTTAATTTTTATAGGATCTTCTACAGTATCGTTTATAAAAACGAATCTGCTGCAAATAAATATTTTTATTAGCTATATTCAGTTTTTCAAAAACGTCCAGCTATTGTGGGTCAGTTCCAAGGCCAGAGGATGGGATTCTTTCAAAAGCTGGTTTAAAACATCTGTAATTTCCAATAACAAAACAAGATCTTAAACTACATGTCAATTGCTTATTCAATTATTTTATTATAATAATATATTTATGATAATTAGATAATGGAAGCTTGCAACAAATCTGCAAGTTAGCTGCAACGACTGACTCATGAACTACTAAGCCAGGACTCTGTATATTTCCACACATAACGTGAAATTAATTTTCATGCATTTTCATAACATTTGTTTATTGCTAATATCAATGATGATCTTTAAAAATAATAATGAAAAAGCGTTTTATTTGAACTATGATGTCCTGAAATTAAATAATTTTTTTTTTAATAATATCAGAGAGCTAAAAAATTGCAACATTAAATATTCTCAAGTCCATAGAACTGAAAGTCTATGTCATTTCATTGGAACATTTTAAAATGTAATTGAACCACTGTGCAAGGACAGAAGCGCAGACGAAGCAAATCTTGCACAGGATCTTCAATGCCGCTAAACAATAATACAGCAAAACAAAAAGAAGAATTACGAACTCGCCCCTTTTTTTGCGGTGAACGCGTCCAATTGGAATTTTATGTGCAGTGCCCGCTAAAAAGGAATAAGTATATACAAGTATGAGTGTGAGTGCGAGTACACGTATCTACCTATACAACCGAACATATTTTATGGCAGCAGCCCATAACCCAACCCCTCTGCACTGTGACTGACATGCGGATATATGCCATGAACGGGAACTGTCTGGCCCGTCTGGCCTGCCCGGCCTGCCTGACTGATGACGTCGCTGCCAGTGCCACTGCAGTTTGCCACCCTTAAAAATAAAATAAAGTGTAGTAAAAAAGAAATCGCCGAGTTGTGGCTCCGTAGCGCCCCTTACTTAATATTTTAAAGCCGCCGCAATTGAAATCAGCAACAGCGCCGCTTTCAAATCGCGCCACGCTTGACTATTCTGGTTTATATTTTTCGAAGCAGTCGCCGTCGTCGTCATCGAAATATGTGCACATATAGTGTATATATATATATGTATATATTTTATTCCCCTTTTTTGCTGTTGTTGCTGTTGTTGTTGTTGTTGTTGCAGTATGCGCCCCTGCGCAGTTGGACTTTTTGGTGTGTTTGAAAATGCACCTGGCAGAATTTTTCGTTTGTTGTTGTCCCTTCTGGCTTGGACTCTATGTGGCAGTGGTTGGTTGCTCTTGCATTGTGATTTCCATGGTGCACATGCCTCTATGTGGCACAACTGCCCTAACGCTATGCAGCAGCACCACCAACAACAACGACAACGACAACAACAACAACAATAACTAACACATTAACAACAACAACAACAACAACAACAACAAATAAACGCTGGCATGACTGTGCGCTGGTCGCGTGCCCAAAGCACTTCGACACCCGACTGAATTGTGATTGTTTTCTGTATTATTGTTGTTGCTGTTGTTGTTGTTCCTTCCTTCATTCCATGCTATTCCATACTTTTACCGTTTTTCTCCTTTTTTCTTCGTATTTTGCGCGCTCATGCAAAACGCTTGACGAGTTATGACTGTGTGTGTATTAGCATGTCCTGCGGCGTTTTTATACACTTACGCATATAGCTCATATATCTACTATGCTATATAATTTATTTTCCCACTCCCACATTTCGGCATTCTCGGCTGCCTTTTTGGCTAGTATGAGCATAATAATTTGAAATTTATTGGGCCAAAAATTGGTTGCATTTGGCCAAGCCGGTTCCTCTCTGGCCAGCATCTGCGACAAACAAAGCTCCGGCAAATACCTTAAGCCTTTCGGCTTACAAGGGGGCATAAGCTCGATGGGCTCGATAGCAGGGTGTTAAGTTCGGTTCGCTTTAATCAATGCTCTACGTCTTATTAGCAGCACATCGAGGTTATTTGCAAGGGTTGCTCGGATCTCGGATGATTCATCAGGGGAGCTTAGCTTCGAAGTGTCAAACGTGAATGTTCGAAGCTTAAGGGGGTGCGCAGGTTTATAAATTGTTTAGACAGCGGCAGATTTCTCTGATATGATGTGAATTAATTCCTATTTGATTTCGGGACTTGGTAGTTAATATAATTATGCGCATTATGTGGGGTATTTTTAGTTAGGTTATAATGAAAGTAAATTAGACAAGTTGTTTTATTAGTTTGAATAAAGCTTAAGCTTTTAATTTGCCAACAATTG